CAGGCTAGTGATGTGGAATACCCCCAATATTTGAAGTCTCAGATCTGAGTATACTTTAGTAAATATACACCTAAAATAACTTTGGAGAAGTATTAGAGTCACAGTATTGAAACAGTCCTACAGTAATTCCAAAAACAGATTAAGTCAAAACATTTTTATTTTTTGCTTGGTATGTAAAACTGATTCCCTCATGAAGTAGAAGTTATTGCAACTAGCACACAGTTCATTTGGAGAGGTAGATGGTAAGAGGTTTGACAACAGTAGCGATTTACACAGTTAACTTGGCACATTGTTAAGGCTAAGCTTTTGTACAGACTTCAAACCAAGGCACTCCTTGAGTCACATTCTCTCCACACAGAGCAGCTGTGAAAAGGTGTTAGAAGATCTGAAAGACACACACACAAAAAAAGTGGTTAGAAAAAAGTAATGAAAATCTGTATGTATGCTTGATGAAAGTACTCCCACAAATCTTTTGTTATAGATGACACCACAGACAAGTAGGTATAAATTAGTTTACCTTCACAGGTAGCTCATGGGACAAAGGGTTGTTTTCATTGCCATCACTCTCAGAAGTTTATATACTGTAAATTCTCCCAGGTAGGATGTTATACAGCAGGGACTAAAGGCAGAATCCAACTTGTACAAGTGAATAGGGGGCTCATTCTCCTGGGAGCTGAATCTATTAAACTCAGTGGTCTGAACTGGTTGACCAGAGAAAATAAATTATTCTACAGCAAAAATAGTTGCAAACTCTCTCTTCTAAACACCACCTCCACTTGGAGATACCCAGACTATGTATTGGGTGAGAGGTGGTAGCTACTGCCTCCAAGTGTTGCTAACTTTTCTGGCTCATCCAAAAAAAAAAAAAAAAAAGTAGGGGTCTCCCCATAAAGTTTGCTGTTTGGGGAGGTTACAGGAAAAGAAACCTCTCTTTTACAGGTAGAATGCCTAAACTGTTGTCCTAAGGACTTCTGCTTGTGATGTCTGCAGAAACAGATGTTTCAGTCCCACCCCAAGTTGTGATGGTAGGGGCTGGGACTTGGAAATAAAATTTAAATTCTTATTACAAGGAAGGGGTAGGGGGGGGGTTTTGAGTGGAGTAGGAAAAGGAATTGATTACCACTGCATCTTAATTCTTGGGTGTAAGTCTCAGGAAAAGCTTAGTGTAGAACAGAATCTTACACTGCCAGAATCCATGCTCTACCTCAGTGGTTCTCAAACTTTTGTACTGGTGACCCCTTTCACATAACAAGCCTCTGAGTGCGACCACCCTTATAAATTAAAAACACTTTTTTATATGTTTAACACCATTATAAATGCTGGAGGCGAAGCAGGGTTTGGGGTGGAGGCTGACAGCTTGCGATCCCCCGTGTAATAACCTCATGACCCCCTGAGGCGTCACAACCCCCAGTTTGAAAACCCCTGCTCTACCTGCTCCATGGACAAAAGACTTTAGGACTGGCAAATAGGATATTGTTCACTAGCACTAAATTCTTTTCTTTGGTGAGGAAATGAGCAGTATATTTTAGTTGAAAAGTTTACTGAAAAGTCAGAACTTTTTAAAAATATACTCCATAATGAATGTTGTATATATTTTAAATGAATGACCTGATGACAGATTATTTTATCAGAGCAAACAGGAATCATAGAATATCAGGGTTGGAAGGGACCTCAGGAGGTCATCTAGTCCAACCCCCTGCTCAAAGCAGGACCAATCCCCAGACAGATTTTTTCCCCAAGATGGCCCCCTCAAGGATTGAACTCACAACCCTGGGTTTAGCAGGCCAATGCTCAAACCACTGAGCAACTTGTATCATTTTTTATAGTTTAAAAACTTACCACTGAAAGAGACCAAGATAGTTCACCAAATTACAAAAATGAACAGACTTTCTGGGGTCTGAATGGATTTGTACTTGAAGACACTCCTGTCAGTAGGGGATCATGTTGTGCATTCTGCAGACAGAACTGCTTCAAGTCTGCTGCGGCTTGAGAAACCTAGTCATAAAGTAAATTTTAAATTAGCATTCACAGCAAATACTTTATCTTGTAGTGTATGGAAGGTGCTGTTTTCAGTACAGCTAGATTTTATTACACACAAAACACTTGCATTTTAGTTTTTGTTCAGAAAAACTATCGCATTCAGTAATACTCTATTTTAAGGGAGTTGGTCTTGTCTTCAGATACTAGGTGCACAGTTCAGCACATTTTTGAAAATCAGCTCTTGGCTACTATACATACAGGTTCCTCAAGCTGAAGTAGCATTTAACACACTATGGGTAATTTTTACAAGACATGCAATCATACACCAGTGTCTGCCACCTAATGCAAGCCCCAAAACAGTTTTACTTTATACTTTTTCTAAGGGCTTGTCTTCACTACAGGGTTAGCTCAAGTTATAACAAGTGTTGACCCTAACCCAGCTCCTGTGCACAGACAAGTCTCTAGCTTCAGAAAAGTGGTGCTTTTAACTTGAGGTGGCTGATTTGGCAGTGTATAGGTTGAAGCTCAGGTGTTGCTAAAACTAGTAAGTGGGGACTCAACTACTCCATGCTGCTAATCCAATCCTATTGTGCTGCTCTAATGTTTTGCAGTGTGATAACTCCTCATTTGAATAAGTGTGAACTTGATAACTTAAGCTAACACTGAAGACAAGCCTTCTTAAGAATAACAAGAGATATGTTAGTATACCATTTTGTATAAATACATTGCTAAAGGAATCTATATATGCCCTCAAGAATGTGAAAAATCCACCCACTGTAAAAATTTTCAGTTCCAAACTAAGCAAAGTGATGATCCTAGAAGTGGTATTTATCTGTATTATAGTTGTAGACAGAGGACTCAATCAGAGTGAGGTGACAATGTGGAGGTCACTGTGCAAACTCTTCAGACACAGTCCCTCCCCAAAAGAGTTTAAGCATTTGAATTAAGTGGGAGTAGTGGCTGAAAACAAAGCCAAATTTATTCTGGCCAAACCTTCCAGTATCTGGGCATTGACATATTATTTTATCTGGACCCCAGGTGACCAGCTGTCCTGATTTTATAGGGACAGTCCCAATATTTGGGGCTTTATCTTATAAGGCACCTATTACCCCCTACCCCATCCCGATATTTCACACATGCTGTCTGGTCACCCTATCTGGACCAAAGCAAGCAGGGAAAAGCCTTCTGCCACTCAGGTGAAGAATTTTAAATAAGTGGTTTTCAACCAGGGGTATTGCAGAGATCTTCCAGGGGGTATATCAACTATTTGCCTAGTTTTACAACAGGGTACAGAAAAAGCACTAGTGAAATCAGTACACATTTCATACAATGACTTATATAAATGCTCTCTATGCTATACACAAATGTAAGTACAATATTTATAATTCTATGGTAAAAATGAGAAAGTATGCAAATTTTCAGTACTAGTGTGCTGTGACACCTTCGTATTTTTGTGTCTGATTTTGTAAGCAACTAGATTTTAAGTGAGGTGAAACAGGTTTGTAAGACAAATCAGACTGGTAGTCTGGAAAGGTTGAGAATCACTGTTTGAAATCATTCTTGATGCTGTGTCATGCTTAACTAACATGTCTGCAAGTCCACCACCAAATAAATTTAAAACAAAAAACAAAAAAAAAACCCTCTCTATCTTAGCCTGAAGGTTGCTTTACACATTTGTTAAGCTTTCCCCATGAAATAAGAATAGCCCTCATTTTTGAGAAAAAACAATTGTGGCTGCATGCCCTGACACCCCACCTCAGATAAACTAACTTTATTCTCCCATTCCTCTCTATCAGGAAAACATTCTCGGGATGAGACAACACATGAAGAGCACTATTTTTTTTTTTTACAAAAGGTGGTAGGTACATGAAAACATAGAAGTAAAATGAAAACATAGCTGGCTATGTCTCCCCAATTACTTATTTTGAAAGGAGATCTGCAAACTGTAGTTTGCCAATTTAACACAAGGCCTATCCTAGCCTGAAAGTCCACAGATGATGCGCACTCAGCATATGCGAGGGCTCTAGGAACGTCTCCATTTTATATCTGAATAATCAAAACGGGTGAGAGGCCTGCAGCAGCCTAGACCGGGGCAGTCAATAGGCGGACCGTGGGCCAAACCCAGATCAGTGGGAACGGGCCCGGGCTTTTATTATTTTCTCTGCAGTTTGGCTCTTGACCGAAGCTAATTGACTATCCCAGGCCCAGGCTGAACGAGTCCTTTCCAGTGAGGCGGCAGGGGGGAGAGACTCTGCACCGCAGGACACCTTAAGTTACGGCGGGTCTCTGGGGGAAGGTGCCCAGCTGGTGCAATCCCGCCCGCTCAGACAGCAGCATTTCAGGCAGGCGGCAGCTCCGCCCTGCAGCACAGAGCACCCCGGGATTAGGAAGTGAGCGGCTGGGGCGTGCTCAGCCTACGGCCGCTGTGAACGCCCCGAGTTGCCCGGCACAGCAGCCCTGCGCGTGGGGCGAGTCTGGCCCCACGTACGAGAACGGCCTGTAGCGCCGACCCGCCCGCGGCCCGGGCCTGCGCTGCGGGGCCCCGGGCGGGTTCGGGGCAGGGCACGCGCAGACAGCTGGGCACAGGGGCCGGGGGGGGGGACAGGAGCCCTCCAGTAACGAGGGCCGCCAGCCGCCCCAGGGGAGGGGGCCGGTGGGCGGGGCGGGCGGCAGCTCTGCCCCTCAGGCGCGGGGCCTGGGCGCGGCACCGGCGGCCCGGCCGGGCGCCCCGCGGCCTCTCCTACCTTCACGCGGCTCACGCTGGCCTCCAGGCGCAGCTGCTGCACCACCTTCTTCATGGCCGCCACGCTGGAGGAGCCCGACATGGCGCGCGGGTAGCGGCTGGGCTCGGGCTGCGGAGCCAGGCGCTGCTCGGAACTTTAGCACGAAGTTTCCGGCGCTTCCCAAACTGCCCCCGGCGCCTGCGCAACCGCCGCCCTGGCTCGAGGGCGGCGCGCCCGGCCCGGTCCAGCCCGAGGGGGCGCTGTGACCGCGCTCAGCGCCTCGCCGCAGCGGGGCTGCCCCAGCCCAGGCAGCCAGGGTTTGCTGCGGGGTCGGGGGCGGCGGGGCCTAAGGGAAATGACGCCACTGTCACGATACAGTCCCATAGGTGTCCCGATAGCGGCGTAGCTCCCTAGGTCCTTCTATCGTGGCCATACCCCCGTCCCAGGCCCACCCCAGCGCCAGGTGTCCCGGGGTCGGGGTTCAGCGCCTCCGCTGGATTTGCTCCGGCCCCTGGAACAAAGGGTGAGCAGGCGTCAGTGACGGTAATCGTGGCTCCTTAGTGACCCACCCGGGGGGTCTGTGGTGCAGGGCCTCTGCTCGCCCGGCGGTGTTTGAAAAGGGACCGTTACCCAGGAAACCCTTCCCTCGGCCCGGGCAAGGCAATGCCGTTAGCGCAGGGTAAATACAGTAACTCAAACTGAACAAGAAATGTACGAGATAAGAATGAAACTTGCGGCTCTGTGGCACCTGCTCGCCAACGATCCCAAAGTGCTTCCTAGATCTACTAATGAAGGGAGCCTCCCACCCTGCTCCCCTTTGGAGTAACAGCCCATTTTACATATGGGGAAGGAGAAGCTGCAACTTGCCTAAGACGAGATCACACAAGCCTGTGGCAAAGTCGGCCAAAAACCGCAATCTCCTTCCCTCACTATATTTGAACCAGCAGAAGAACATGGTTCCTAGGAGTGCCCCTCTGGCACTAGTGACTTACTCCTGCTTGGTTCGAGTTCATGTACTGCTTAAACTGGCTTATCCTTTCACCAACACAGGTTGGCTTAATAAAAGATCTTACCTCACCCACCCTGCCTTTAGGATGGTGAACAGTTAGTTCTACAAGTATACATTAGTATACAGTTTTGTATTAGGGTTTTCACGGATTTTGAGTATTTGATTTATAATTCAATATTTCTGAGAAAAATAAGGTGAATAGTAAAACAAAGTTTCAATCCCTGGCGTATAATGTTCCCACTATATATTGTGGGTTTAGGACTTTGCATTTCTCTAGTGGCTTCCAAGTAATTTCTGGAGAAATTCCCCTAAAATGGAGACAAAATGGAAAAAGTTTTTTTTTACTTTGGATTTAGGGAGAAAATAATGTATCCAGGCCTAGAGAGTTTTATACTATAAAATAATGCTTGTGATGAGTCAGAATAAAATTAGCTCCTCACTCAGATAAATTGACCTAAACATTTCAAACTAATTTCAACAGATGTTTATAGGAAAAAATACTATTTTAAAGGACTCCCATTAACTAGATGCATTTTGAGTTTGTTGCAATTAATTTAGACAACAAAAGATGAATAGATATTGTAGATTTTCTTTTTGTGCTGAAAAACATCAGTTCTCATCTAAAACCTTTTGACACCTGGTTCTAAATCCCTTATTCTAGAAAAAGATGGTAACTACACAACTGTGCTATATTATTTGATAATAGATATGCTGTACAATTATTGGCCATTTTATAATCCCATTGATTTCAATAGAAGTTAGGAACCTAAATACCTTTGAGGTTCTTGGCCAAAGATCTTACAATCTGGATTTACTTTGACAAAGCAATGGGATAGACAGGGAGGGAGGAAAGAAGGAAGGAAGGAATATGTAGAACAAAGGCACTGGGGTGAGTGGTACAGTAAGCGTAGGCTTTTTGTTTGGTTGGTTTTATAGTGATAGAAAATTATATCCATGTAAAACACAAGATTGGAGAATTCGTGGTTTTTAGGACAAGGGCCGGAGGAGACAATTAAATCTGTTGTTTTAAAGGAACCATTAGATATGGTAATCTCAGTCATCAGTGAAAAATGTAAACAGTGTTTGCAGTCTAAGTGGAATAAGAGGAAGAAGAATACTTTGCACTTTTCAAGTCTTTTTACTGAGGATCTTAAAGCACTTTATGAACAATCATTAATGAAGACTCAGCAGCCATGGGAGGCAGGTGAGAATTATTATTTTTGTTTTAGTGATAGGGATACTGAGGCACAGAGCTGTTAAGTGACTCTCCTAATGTCTCACAAGAGGGGTCTGATCAAAGTGACCTTGTTATTCTTACTCAGGTAAAACTACTGAAATCAGGATCAGAACTCAATGAAGGGCAGAACTGGAAATAAAAAACAGACATTCAATTCTGTCCTTTTAATGATAATTTGTCTGTCTCTGTTTGTTAATCATAAGTAGGGCTTCTGAATTTAGGTTTTAACCAATAAACACAAATAAAACACCCCGATGCAAAACAAATTAAATTGGTGTTTATCCAATAAACACCAGAAAAGGTTACTTGTGTCTGAGGGCTTGTCTACATGGAGCAGAATGCAGACTATGGGAGGTGTGATTTGTAATGCACACTAACATATTGCAGCATTAATTGGTCTCTGTAGACCCTGCTGATGCCCACTAGGGAACATTACAAAGAGATTACTCATTACAGCATATATGACTGTAATGAGGCATATATGACTGTAATGAGTAATATATATATAATATATACAAAGAGAAAGCCATGAAAAACCCTGATTTTTGGACATCTACATAAAATTCAAAAATTGATAAAAATAATCCTCCCCAAATTAAATTAATAAACTAAAAAAACCAGAAGCACTAATCATCGCCTGTCTATACTAGCACATTTGGTACTTGTCAGCAACGTGCCAAGTAGTGAATATTTATGGCAGGAAAGGACCTAAAGCAAGTGTTGTGTAAAAGGAAGTTGTACGTGCCTTTTTGATGTTGAACCTTGTACCCAGGCCAAGAAACAACCTTTATTCTGGTTTGACCAGGCATTTGCTTTTACCAGTCTAGATAAGATGTGTCCTGTTACCAATCAGATTTGTCAGCTTCCAACACTGATACAGGAAGTCTTTATGGGAAACAATGCATTGATGGTTCAATACCCTGCTAAAATGAGAGTTAAATAGCATGAAAAATCTGGGTATTGGAATCAGTGGAGAAATTATTACAGTTCGAAATGTGCATATCTGTAGGTAGGATTAATGATACAGGGACTTGCCCATTCCCACATCCTCTCTTGCTTTATGGATGAAGCCAAGTGTCCTTGGAATACTTTTCTGTTTTGACTCATGCATGCTGAAATGTCACTGGTTCTGAATGACTGCATGGCTTCAGACTCTGCCATTCTTGCCCATCTACCCAAAATAAATCCAGACACTGAAAGAAATACATCTTGTGTTTGTTAGATGCACTGTAGAAATATATAGATAACTATATACAGTAATTAAATACTTTTTGATGAAAGAAGAATGGAAAATGTTACTCAGAATACTAATGCAAACCTTAGTTGCCCAACTGCAATTATGCAATTCACTGGGTTACTTAGGTGATATTTAGTTGTATAGAAGGTGTGTTCACATCAAAGGGAGTATTAAGCCTACTAGTCAATACTTAGCTCTTTGCAGTTTATCTTCCGGTTTTGCTGGAAGCAAAGCCTTCAGCCTGAATCCAGAACTTACTTACAAGCTCTCTGCTGCTTTTTTCTCAAACTTTTGTATGAAGTGGAAACAGATTCAAACTGAATGGAATACCATTTTTGACTTACAGGATTTATCATAACCCATACTGTTAAGTAATGCTAAGATACAAAAGAAATTTAAAAATCCATCCGGAATTCAGTGACACCCAATACAGGCACCAGTGAATATGTCATTCAGTCAAAATAGACCGCCAACATCAGAGGTGAGAACTTTTGCTCTGAATATTTTAGAAAATCTGTATAACTGTTCTAAATTGTGAAAATTGCTGCCATGCAACATTTTCTGGCAGATGTGTGAAGAAAATATCCGCTTATTTTAAAGACGAGTACATGAAAAACCATTCAAAGTCTAGTTTATATTTAATACCCAAAAGTTTATAGGAATATTCACTAAAGCTTATTTGTGCTGGCTGTTTATATAGGCCACATATACACAAGGAAACTTTTCCAAAAATTTCCCACTATTGCTAACACTGGTTCAGCTGCATCAAAGATAGCAATATTGGGAGCTCAGCTATCAACAGGGCTCCCATGGTCATCACAGTTTTAAGCATAATGTCACCTAACCCTCCTCAGTTCAGGTCCAATCGTGGTTTCAACAGCCACTGGCCTGTGCACTTGAGTACTTGGACTATTGCTGTAATTGTTAGAAACCTGGAAATGTTTTGAAATTTTTCCCTGGTGTTGTCAGGACCTCAGTGTGTATTTGTCATTAATAAGACGAATGTATTTTAATGGTGGGCCCTACACTCCTTTCTGTTGCATGGCTCAGAGTGGAGGCAAGGAGTAAAGCTAGAGCATAAAGGGCCTGATTTTCCATTGCCTTACACTTTGTGTAGCCATTTACACCCATGCAAAGTAGCTGTAAAATGCCAGCATTCTGATCTGGAAAAGTGTATATAAATACACAAGATGCAAGGCAGTAGAGACAGTGATTAATTTGTGCCAGGGCTGAGCCTGGCACCTATAGGCTTGGCAGTTCATAGCCCTGGCACTTCTGGGCTTGCTGCATCAGTTATGCATGTAAATAAATTGCTTGATTCCCAGCACCTCTTTCATTACAAATTAAGCACTGGGCACTTTCCCTCAACACAAGCACATGGAAGCTTCTCCACACACAGTTTTATACTGAGGCCCTGATCCAAGTCCATTTAAGTTAATAGAAGCCTTTGCATTGACTTCAGTGGCCTTTGCAACAGGCTCTTAGAGCTCTGCAGATTTTGGGAGGTCACTTGTGTCCCTGAGAACTTCAAGTATTTCCAATCAGTTCTAATCATTGCTAGCAGAGTAACATCCAACAGCAGCACGGCTCCTCCTCTGCCCTGACTTCTAAAGATAAAATAGTTCCAACATTATTTCTGTGAAAAATTTCCACACTGAATATGCTGTCAATTGAAATGCATGCAGTCTAAATCCAGCCCTCATGATTATTTATGTGGCCCACATGAAATATTCAAATTGTGCTGAACCCAAGTTTTCTTTCTTCCTTTTTTAAAGTAATTTTCTAGAATTTATGATTGCAGAGAGAGCCTGCCAAACGTGAGCCAAGTGTAAATTGATATAATGTCTGCATGAGTCTGCAAACAATGACTCAGAGATGTTAACTCCTCTGCTGGTCTTGAGTCTGTATTAGTATTTTTATTAATATAGAAAACATTTATAATTTTATAAAATGAAAATGAGTGAGGTTTGTAAGGTGCAGAAAGGAGATATTGGACCCAACTCTATAGTTTTACCGAAGCATTCTAATTTGCAAAAGTGAATCTCCACAATCAGGGAAAAAATGTTTTACAAGATATCATTGATAATTATTCCATGGCTGACATTTGTCAGCACTTTAGCTCTTTTTCTTATTCGTGAGCCAAATCCTATCACTGGGAAATTTCTAAGTTAATACTGCCGTATTTGGTCCATTATTATTATTATTTTATTGTGAATCTCCTTTCTGCTAGCAGTCCAAAGCCTGTATAACTGACTACCTGATAATGATTTTAACCATGTTTATACAGTACTTTGAAAATCTACCTGACTCTGCAAGTCTAAATGTTATTATTTAAATAGCTGGTTCACTGATACCAAGTAAAAGCCTTGTGTGCATTAAAAAGTGTATATATTTAATCTAATTTGGATCAAATTGTTTGAAATCTGCCATGTCCATAAAAGCATTTTGAGGCATATTCATTTATCATCTTTATTATGATAGTGCCTAGGGACCAGTCATGCTGCTTCATTTTTCTAGACACTGTACACACATAGAATTAGAGACAAATCCTTCCCTAAAGAGTTTAGAGTCGAAATTAACAAGACAGTGACAGGATCGGGCAACAGTATATAACCTACACCAGAATGAACAATGCAGTGGTTTATGAATATTATGCCATCTGTTTTTTGTTTTGTTATATAAATCCTTTTGGTGGACACCCTGTGTCAATATTTGTATTACTTAAATGCTTACTGTATATCTATAACTGAGATAATCTTCTCTCACTGCATTTAGTTGGTAGAGCTTCATGTTTTTTATGTCCCAGAAGAAGTGTGGAACTTCACATTAAATACAGTTTCTGCAGATCTTACTAGCAAATTCATTTCAGCTGGATTTATAAGGTGAGTAATTGCTAAATAATGAGGAAAAATGCTGCTTTAGGCCCCAATCCTACATACACGCTTGCACATGCTTAACATTGTGCCTGTGAGTAATTTCTTTATACAGTGCTTCAACTAATCCATGCAGCTGGATAGCTCTATAGGGAACCATTGCAGCACAGCATCAGCTAGAACAGCCCTTGAGGCTCCTGTTCTGTGGTCGCTTCCAGAATCCAGGCGACACAAAGTTGGCACACAGCCATCTTTGCTTTTCTTGGGCTACACCAAACTTAGCTCCACCACACCCAAGAATCTGGACCACTAAAATTCATTTCCAAAAGGGGAATTAGCGAGAGAGAGTGAGTGCCTTCCTTTTAAAAAGACATGATGTTGGACAGATGGTTAGACAGCAACATGAATTCCACAAGGGTAATTCATACAATTGGAATGTTTGCCTGTCCATATTTATTGTCCTTTGTGTAACTTAGACTCCAATCCTGCAATGAGCTCTGCTTGGAACCCATTGAAATTGATGTGGCTTCATGTGTGCATAGGGGTCTACCTGGGCAGAGCTCATTGCAGAATCAGGGCCCAAATTTCTAAAATATTTTTACCAGACCTTGCAACAGAAAGCAAAGGATTAACCTTTAACATTTTTTATTTTCTGAATGTTTTTTCTTTTGTAACGTACAAGATATTAAGGATAAAATCCTGGCCCCTTTGCAGTCTTGGGAGTTTTGCCATTGATTTCACCACTAAAAGTCTAATGAGTTTAAGAAACAGAAGTGAATGTTATAGTTAATTTAACTTGAAAAAAGACACTGTCTGACATGCTTTAAAAGAATAGTATCAGAGGGGTAGCCGTGTTAGTCTGGATCTGTAAAAGCAGCAAAGAGTCCTGTGGCACCTTATAGACTAACAGACGTATTGGAGCATGAGCTTTCGTGGGTGAA